AATGATTACCAGCTCCTTGAGAATTCCAAAATTCCACCTGAAAAAGCTGAGATTTAAAGTGAGTCTACATGTTATTTTCCAAGCTCAGTGATATTATCGCTAGGGATACATCATTTGCCATCTCATTTCTGACTGTGCTCTAAGCTGCTTGAAAACATTTCCTCCCCTCACCCTAAAAGTGGCAGACATTAAGAGTTCATGGAAGGTTAAAACACTCGCCTGATCTACAGGATTAAACTCCAACAGTGGAACTGATTTGTTTTCCTACATGGTCCTTGCCAAACTGCAACAATTTGTGTGAAAATTATCTTCTGTTAATCAAAAGCTATGGGTTCAGCCTGCTTAAATTGCCTGATGATGTAAACAAACATACTTTATAGGCATTCCTGCAAAAATTATGCATAAATCCAAGCTATTTAATTCTTCATTGCTTCTGCCAAAAAAAAAAAAAAAAAAAAATAAGGCCAGCTTAACCCTTTAGTGTTTTTCCCTAGATATATCAATGCCACAATGTATTTCCAATGCTTGGGTTTTGCTTCACAAATATTTAGCATAGAACTGGTATAACTTTATTTCTGCCTTCTGTTACTCTGCAATGAATAAATGTACTGTAACATTTAGCAGACTATCACAAGACACGTATAAAAATCAAAAACTTACTGTGTATATGAATGACCTGAGATTCCTTCTGCTAAAAACAGTCCCAGGCATTTTGGTAGCTAAGACAGCAGCCCTGAGCAAGAGACTTGGAGCTACACAGTGAATGTTTCTGAAAGAAAGTAACTGACTGTACAAGAAAATAGAAAAGACCACATGACTGTCATATGAATATCCTTAGACAATATTAATCCAGTTTCTTTCTATTATTACTTGCCAGTGGTTTTGTCTTACTAGGTACTCATATGGAGTACTCACCAAGAATGAGAGCTACAAAAGTATTCTTCAAAACTGTCTCAAATGTCTCATAGGTTTGGGGAGAACACAAAGTGAGTGGATTCTGCTATTTATTCTGAATACCACTCACTTCAGAAGGCCTGTTTGCATGGGCTTTCTTTCAGAGTAAGGACATTAATAAGGAAAGCACTTAAAACAGGACAAAAATGCCTACAGAGGCAACAAAAGATTAAAAGCTTGGTACATCTCTGGGAAGATGACAACAAAGCCAACTACATGGCAAGACCAGTTTAATTTCGTTGGAATGTCAGCCTCGTGGAATTTTCTACAGACAAGGTTTTGAATAGTGTTCTCACTGCTGGGGTGGGAACACCACAGAGAGCTCAGCGCTCCTCTTGCTGAAGTTACTGCAAATACCCTAAATGTATGCTCACAGTATCACCTGCCACACAGGCATTAAGGTGGGGAAGTCGTTGAGTGGCGATGGCTCAATTAGTCTGTGTTGGACATTTGCACACTAAAGGTAAGCCTTGCAGTCTGTAAGTCTGTACACAACGCTGGATACCCTGTGATTAATGAAAAGTTAACAAAAGAACTGTTAAAAACAATAAATCTGCTTTTAATTACCATTAGAGGGACTAAGAAAAAAATAAACTAAAATGATTAAGAGACTGGAGCATCTCCTCTATAACGAAAGGCTGAGGGAGCTGAGGGAGCTGTTCAGCCTAGAGAAGAGAAGGCTAGGAGGGATCCCATCAATGGGTATGAATACATGAAGGATGGATCCAGATCTATCAGTGGTACCCAGTGACAGGACTAAAGGCAATGGACACAAACCAAAACACAGAAGGTTCCCTCTGAACATCAGGAAACACTTTTCACTGTGAGGGTGACCAAGCACAGGTTACTCAGAGAGGCTGTGCAGTGTCCATTCTTGCAAGTATTCAAAACTGGACTCTGTCCTGAGCAACAGCTCTAGATGACTCAGTTTGGGCAGTGGGGCTGGAGAATGGATTCCAGAGGTCATAGAATCATAGAAAGGTTTGGGTTGAAAGGGACATTAAAGATCATTTAGTTCCAACCCCTCTGACTGGTCAAGGCTGGCACCCATTAGATCAGGTTGACTCAAGGCTCTGTTCAACCTGGCCTTGAACACTTCCAGGGGTGGGGAATCCAGAACTTCTCTGGGCAGCCTGTTCAGTACCTCATCATCCTCACAGTAAAGAATTTCTTCCTAACATCTAATGTAAATCTCTCCTCTTTTAAACTGTTGCCCCTTGTCCTATCACTATCTGTCCGTGTAAAAAGTCACTCTCCCTCTTTTTTGCAAGCCCTCTTTGAGAACTGTAAGGCTGCAATTAGGTCTCTCTCATCTTAGTGGCCCTCCTCTGGACCTGCTCCAACAAGTGTGCTGAGGACTCCAGAGCTGGATGCAGCACTCCAGGTGGGGTCTCAGAGCAGAGCTGAAGGGCAGAATCACCTCCCTCAACTTGCTGGCCACACTGTTTTTGATGCAATTGGGATGCAATTAGCCTTCTGGGCTGCAAGTGCTCATTGCTGGGTCATGCCCAGCTTTTCATGCATGAGAACCCTCGAGAATCTGCAGGGCTGCTCTCAATGAGTTCTTCTCCCAGTCTGTATTCGTGCTTGGGATTGCATGGACCCAGGTGCAGCACCCAGACATTGAGCCACTGACCACAACTCTCTGGCTGCATCCATCTGTCCATCAGTCCATCCACCCAATCAATTTCACCCAAGCTCAACCATTCTGTGATTCTATCAACTATAAATTATTAGAACTGAGAAAACTATTTGAAACTCTCACCATCATGCAGATTTCTCCCTACAACATGGAAGTGAAATTCAAGAGCCAAATAGGCAGGTGCTCCCTCATTAGTCATCTTGCTTCCTGGAACTCTTCACTATTATTATTTAAGTCTCATCTTAATTAAACCATTGCTAACCTGTGGTCCTTCAGCTTCATAAAGACACTCAGTTTCTAAGTTTCATACCTTCCAAAGGAGTGACCATGAGCTCCTTTTCAAGTCCATGGGAAGAAACACAAATTTCATCATCTCTAATAGACTGGACTTCTTGTTCCCTGGAGGAACTTGCCTCTTCTCTGAACCCAGACAATAATCTTCAAATGCTGACATTACAAGAGAGGTGTCTTGAGTTGAGAGATGTGAATCCACAGAAATCGCTTCTGTAAACACACCACAGACTTTTCAAAGAACGGCTCAGTCAGGGAATAGCAAAAAGATTAAGAAAGAGAAAACAATGCCTGTGGCACCCTCCTGAGAGCTGTTGGTTCAGAAACGAAATATAAGGCCATGCTCACTGGACCTCCCAACAGAACTCTTCCAATTTACCTGCTTACATAAATGTAGAGATGCTCTGGTAAAAACTACAGTCACTGGTATTTAGGATAGTCAAAATATTTAAATAAAACCACCAGTAAAATAACCAATAAAACTTTGATGGTTTGACATGTTTCCAGTTTCACTCCCACGTGGTGAGTCCTTCAAAGCAGAAAACTCAATCCAGGCAAGTCAGAACCAAATAACCACTACCTAAGCTGAACTCTTCTCCCACTACAGTAGAGACTTTGTCTCTCCGCTTCAGGCTGTAGCAATGGCTGCATGAACTAATGATTCAGCACTTTCCAACCAGCATTCTTCTGATTAGGAAGACGCAGGATAACATTCACAAAAATCCCTAAGACCTTCAAGACCTCTAAATGCACAGGTGGCTAAGATATGAAATGGATCATGCTGACCTCAAAGAGGCTGAAAGATCACAGGTTCTGAAAAAGTGTTGTTCAAAGAAACAGGGTTTAAAATCCCCTCAAATTTTGGACAACCTCAACTCTGCAAGAGACTGGAGAATGAGTTATCTGGATCAAATTTGCCACAAAAAGCATTTTTTGATTTTAAAATGGAGAATGTGGTGGGGAAAAAAGCATTCAGCAATGTGACAGGAGATCAGAAATATTTTGGACAGCTCTGCCTAAGCCCCTCCTGACCTACAGAGTCTGCTAGTTTCACTCAATGATTCCCAGTATCCGGGAGCCGGACGAGTTCCTTACGTTGTTCTAAGAAGGCCTTTTTAGAAATACATAGTCTTGATGTAGACTAACACATCACTAGTAGCATTTTAAAAAACAGCCCTGTGCAGTCTTATCACTACACTAATCCTCTGGTCTGTGCATATGTTCTCCAATCGCGACAAAACAGGAGACAAAACATATTAGCCAGAGACAACCTGGACATCTTCCAGTGGAAACTCCCCAGTGGGTGTGTTCATGGGATCCCTTTAGAGACAGTGCCAGGCACAGGGTGTGCTGGACATCCTGCCCTCGGCCTCACAGCGATAACTTGCACAAGGTTGCACAGAGATCCCTCACTGTAAAGAGGGATTCACTTACAATCAGGAGGTTAAGGCTAGGCTGGAAGCCAGGACATGGAGCACCATCCTCTCCTGGCTGAAGAAAGGGCAAAACCTGAATGTGGTGGATTGCAGAAAAAAAAAACAACAAACCTGTCCCCGGGAGGCCTCTGCCTCCTTACCATCCTCTCCCTTCCATCCTCCCCGCAGGATTGAAGGAAGCCATTGTATTGCATTGAGCGGCACGTGTTGTGTCTGACTGAGCTATGTCAGTGCTGTGCTGCTTTCCGCTCTCTACTGACATTCCCGGGAAGGCGGTTTATGCAGCGCTCCCAACAACCTACTGCACCTCGCTTCTCTCACGGGGGTACGGGGCTCTGTGCTCGCCGGGGCGCGGCAGTGGGGATCAGAAGGAGCAGTAGGAAAAGGAAAAGGAAGTAGAGGCGGAGAAGGAGAAGCCAGAAGAACTGCAGGAACGCAAGGAAAAGGCGGCGGTGTCAGCGACGGGATCGCTCCCGCCCCTCCGTGGGCGGTGCCATCCGGGAGCCGCTGCCAGGCTGGTCCCTCCCCTGCCGGCCGGGAGCCGCCCTTTCCGTCGGGAAGGCGGCGCAGCGCTGTCCAAGATGGTGGCGGGAGGGTTGTGCCTGTGTGGGCTCATCAGGTACCGGGGCGCGGGGGCGGCGCGTCCTGGCAGCGGAGAGGGAAGGGAGGAGGCGGCCCCTTCCCGGCCCCGCTCCCGCATCCCCCCGAGCCCGCCCGGGCAGAGCGAGGCGGGATGGATGGCGCCCGGCTCCTCGCCGTGCCGCCGGCCCCCGATGGGTTAATGTGCTTTTCCGCTGCTCCCGGCCGGGAATGGAAGTGTTTCCCGACGTGTCAGTCGTGACGCGTGGGTCGCCGTGGGCAACTCCTTTGGCGCCGAGTAAACGCTGCTTTATCATAAGGCGTAGCCCAGCAGGAGGAACCAGGAGCTGTCCCTGTGAGGCCCAGGGGGGCCAGGAAGACACTCCTGTGAGAAACAGGAGTTTCTCCCAGCCCGTCAGTGGGTTAGGAGAGGCGAGAGGCTGTGGAGAGCGAAGGGAATACTCCCGTCAGTGTCTCAGAGGCCGCAGGGAACGGGTCTCTCACTCAGAGAAACTGCACGGAGCTTCTCTGGAGAGCTGACATAGCTCTTCACATCTCAGGGGAATGGCACATGAGGCTGCAGTGGGAAATGGCTGGCCCCAGTAAATTGGCACCAAAGCAACAATAAGGCAGGCCGAACGGGAACTTGGACTGAATAAAACTCTTGCAGTAAATCTATTTGGAAATCACTCAGCTAGTTGTGTATTGCCCGATTGCTGAGGGCATGCAGCTTCAGCTTTTAGTGTGTAGAGCACATGGAGATAGACACAGGTATATGTAAACAGTAAACAATAATAAATGATTGCAAGGTAACAGGAGGGGAAAAAAGTGATCTCTAGCTAAACTATGTAGAGTAGTAATTTCTGTAAGTAGTATTTCTGTAATTGTTGAAATGATACACAGATATTGATGATTTCCGTCATTAGAAGAACTCAAGAATTTGTTGAACTCCTGTAGCTCTCCCTGTAAGACCTTCTTCCTCAACTTCCTACATAGTATTTCTTTAAAGCAGTTATGTATTTTTAAATTTTTGGCTTGTTTCAGATTGCTGTGCTCATTGTTAATTCCTGCATTATTTCTAAGTGGAATTTTGTGCATCTGCTTGGTGGTACTGCTGTGGGGAATACGGCTCTGGATACAACAAAGGAAAGAGCAGTTAAACTCAGCAGGAAGAGATGGGAAGCGGCCATTGCTGGTGGCTTTTTTTCACCCGTATTGCAATGCGGGAGGTGGAGGGGAGAGAGTCTTGTGGTGTGCTATAAGAACACTCCAGAAAAAGTAAGCATATACATTTATCAAACATCGTATTTCATTCTTAGTTTCTGATTGTATTACTTACGCATTTTAATCTACCAGTCCTACATTTTATTTTATGTCTGAGTTCCATGTGGTTGCACCATTCCACTTCATCCCTTTACCCAGATTTTGATCTTTTCTGCTGTGGCATCTCTCACTTTTTTCTGTATCTCCTTGAGAGAACCCCTCCTTCCTCCTCAGTTTTCCACCTCTGGTATGGAACTTTGAATAGCCATAACTCATCGGTAGATAACTGATAATCTTGATACTTGCCTCTTGGTGCAGGAGGCAAAACCAAGTTAATATCTGAAGTGAATTTAACATTGGCACATCCCCTGATTTGCACAGTTGCCTGCATTTTGCTCCTGCTATGCAATAAACAGACATCTGTAGGGCAGGGTGTTCTTATATCTGTAGAATAATACTGAGCTCCTTTTACTCCAAAATAATATTCCCCAAGTCTCCAGCCATATGCTTTTCTGCAAATCAGGAAAAAAAATATGGAAGTATTAGGAAAAGTATAATTTAATTAAAGTAATTTCATAGCTTTGTCAGACATTTGTTCTCACATTCTTCTTGAATAATTCTGAACGGATAATATTTTAGTTTCTTGTTACAAAATTTGAAGAGAAGAATGTATGAAATTCTTTTTCTCCGCTCTTACAGGTATGGAAATGTAACGTGTGTTGTTTACACTGGTGACAGAGATGCCACTGGAGAAGAAATAGTAGAAGGTGCTTTCAGAAGATTCAACATTAAATTAATTCATCCAGTGAAGTTTGTATTCCTAAAAAAACGCTACCTTGTGGAAGCTTCTCTTTATCCTCACTTCACTTTGCTGGGACAAAGTTTAGGATCAGTGTTCCTTGGCTGGGAAGCTCTTCTAAAGTGTGTTCCTGATATTTATATTGACTCAATGGGTTATGCCTTCACACTTCCCCTCTTTAAATATTTAGGAGGTTGTCGCGTTGGATGCTACGTCCATTATCCCACTATCAGCACCGATATGCTTTCTGTCGTTAGGAATCAGGATACCAGGTTTAACAACGCAGCCTTCATTACAAACAGCCCTTTCTTCAGCAAATTTAAGCTTGTCTACTACTACTTCTTTGCTTTCATGTACGGGTTGGTTGGTTCTTGCAGTGATGTGGTAATGGTTAATTCCTCTTGGACACTAAATCACATCCTTTCCCTCTGGAGAGCTGGGGCTTGCACTAGTGTTGTGTATCCACCGTGCGATGTCCAGACTTTCCTGGATATTCCACTGGAAGTGGAAAAGAGCACCAGTGAATATTCCATTGTTTCTGTCAGCCAGTTCAGGCCTGAGAAAGATCACCCTTTGCAAATCAGAGCCTTCGCTAAACTGCTGAAAGAGAAGCGAGTGGGGCAGCAGCCGTCACTGAAGCTGATCTTAATTGGAGGCTGCCGTAACCAGCAAGATGAAGAGCGTGTAAATAACCTGAAACGTCTTTGCGAAGAGCTGGGAGTTGGTAACGATGTGACGTTCAGGATAAACATTCCCTTCGAGGAGCTCAAGAGACACCTGGCCGAGGCCACCATCGGCCTGCACACAATGTGGAATGAGCACTTCGGGATCGGTCAGTGCCTTTCCTCAGTTCAGCCGTTTGTCCCTCGGTGTATAGGCATAGAGGTCTGCGTGCCAAGCAGGTGTCCAGCTCCCATTCCCATTGGAGCCACTGTAGCTGCAGTAAAGCCTACAGGACCAATGCAGATGTCTAGCCACTAGGTGCTACTGTAGTGCAAGCTGAAGTGCTGTAGTTGTAGGCTGTTAATCCTGGGCATCCCCTGGTCACCTAAACAGACAGCTAGTCCCATGTGTGCTGCCCAGGATGTCTTGCTGACCTCCAGCTGTCGCCCTGCAAGGTCATGGGTCACCCCATGGTCCCTGTGTTAGGTTTGCCATCCAGAGCCTCAAAAGGCAGCAGGTACTTCTGATTAAGCAGCTTAGATTGTTCTCCACAGACTGCAGGAGGAGCTTAGACACAGTTCATGTGTAGATGTCCATGTGTAGAGATTTTGGTCATATTTCACCTCCCTCAAATGCTGTTTGAAATGTCCAGTGTATGTCATGGAGCTCAAGCTGCTGTTTCAAAGGTGTGAGTCTCCCACAGATCTTGTCTGTTATAAATGAGCCCCGTGCAGATGCCACCAGGTACCCCGGGCCATCTCATTGCACTATGCACCTGTGCTGAGGCAAATAAATCAAGTCCTTAAATCAATCAGGGCAGCATGCAGCAGAATGCCAAAGAGGAGCTGGGTGCCGTTTTGCAATGTGCTTTCGTACAGAATTTAGGTATGGGGCTCAGTTTGTTTGGATTAGTTGAGTCCTGACCTTGAGAGATTGCCCATCTGGCATAAGTCTACAAGAGGCTAAGTTAGCAACCAAGCATATGGATGCCATACTTGGCTATAATGTGACTAAACTGCAGGCAGTGTCTTCAGCCTATCAGGGTACAATTTAAGTATCAGGAGAAGTAGTTAATGGTCTGTAGAAACGTGGTATAAAAAGTGTACACTGAGGTGTTTCCCAGAAGCAAAATAACATGTTCTCATATTTTTTTCCTCCCACAAAACTGTTTAGTTAAATTTATAAAAACAGTGACACAATCACGCTGTGATTTTGAATTTGAGCATTATGTCACCTTCATCTCAAGAGCTTTTTGCCTGCAAAAAACATCTTCCAGAACTCTAGAGCATTATTTATAGTAGTCAGTGTTTGAGCTGAGGAAACTTACAAAAATCAAATCAGAACTGAGTAGAATCAGCAATTAAAGTGATTTCTGAGTTCTGTTCTTGAACCATGAAGGATAATTAAATTGTTACAGACATTATGTGCTCTTACTACACCACTGCATTTGGCTGAGAAAAGCTTACTGATTCCCATTTCATTAAAATGCCTTCCATCAGAAGTACAGATGTAGCGAAAACAATTTTTACTAGTGTCTTGCTGAGTTGTCAAAAGCTGTAAGATTTGTTAATCTGCAAAATACCGAACTTCTGAGTATTATCTGATTGAAATGTGCATAGTTGGCTTCTTTCTCAGTATCTTTCAATATGTTTAAAATCTTCGGTGTGAATGAAAAAATAAATAGTCACATTTAGCTCTAACTTTAATTTTTTTTGCAGCTGTCACCATACCATAAAACCAGTGTTGCAGTGTTCTGTCACAGAATTAATTACATAGTGTTCTGTCACAAAGCTACCTAAGATGTTTATCTTTACATTTATTTCAATATCTAGAGTTTTCCCCCCCCATATATAATGGTGATAGAATCTGTCTCAGGTAAATCAGATGTATTATAATAACCACAACTTAACCAGTAATATTTGATTTCTAATTTCAATTTTATGTGTTTAGGAGAGACTTGTTTCAGTCCTTAGAACTGAAAAACTTAAATTTGTGTTTCTTATGAGAGCATTTTCACTGTATTTTTCCAACTTAGCTAGAATGGAAGTCTGTAGTAACTTACAGTCCTGGGTGAGTTTTACTGCTGTTTAACTTTCCAGTATTTTATAGAGAGCCAAAGTACATGATGTGCCCATTCCTATCATCATGTTTTGTATCTTTTACAGGAGTAGTTGAATGCATGGCAGCTGGCACAGTTATCCTGGCTCACAACTCTGGAGGCCCCAAATTAGACATTGTGGTACCCTATGAAGGACATGTTACAGGCTTCCTAGCAGACGACGAGGACAGTTATGCCGAGACGATGGCCTATATCCTCTCCTTGTCTCCTGAAAAAAGATTGGAGATCAGAGAAAACGCTCGTCGCTCTGTGCGCAGGTTTTCGAACCAGCATTTTGAATTCACGTTCCTGTTATCTGTGGAGCCATTATTTAAATAAATGTATATAAATAAAAATTTATATGACTAAAATTAACTTTTTGTATTTGACTGTGTGGCACCTGTAAATATATCTAATCTATGATCCCTTGGTCCCATTCAATAAAGAGTTTTTTTTTCTTTCTGCCAGGCTATCTGCTGTCTGTAGCAGATTTTTTTTCTACTGGGAAAGAAATACTTCTGTGTTGACTTCATCACAGTGTGGTGCACTTCAAAACCCTCTGGATTCACAAATCATGATATTGCTTTGGTAAAAGAACTATTATCAGGAAGCTCTTTTATTTATTGAATACTTTCAGTCTTCACCCATTTTATGGCTCTCCAGCCGCAGTTACACTTTTTGAAGCCCACACTTTTGTTTTATACCCTTTCTATCCGGTAAATTTTTTCCCCAGAATCTGTAGCACATTTTCAATTTGATCTTCCCTGTTGTGTGGCAGAATTCTGTTACATAGGATTTTAATTGCAGTTCTGAAGATTTTTACCTACAGTGATTCCTTTAGGATAAGCATTTAGTAGAATGCTTTTTATAAGTAATAATTGCACTTTTCTGTGATCCTTATATTAGGTATTTCCTCATGTCCTTTCATGGTATAACAATTTAGTGGTATTTTTCCAACCCTACTCAGCTGAAAGGTTTTCTGTTCCTAGGGAATAGAAAGGTCTAGATTAGAGGGTATCATTAAAAGCTATGCAAACATGAATGTTAAAGCTCTAAGTGACTGCTTATTATAAAACTGAGAACAGTACAAACCATATGTTCGAGAATTTGACATCTGCTTTTGTATGAATGTGGAAAAAACGCCCTTTTTTTAGCCATCAAAGCAATATTTTATATTTTAGCAAGCTAAGAGAAGTGCAAAACTTCAACTAAGCAGATTTGTGCTATATATATAGTACAGCAGAGAAGAGATTGTCTAGGAGGTTCCTGAGCTGTGTGGAAGACAGCTTCTTGACTGAGCTGGTCAGTGAGCCAACCAGGGACGGTGCCTCACTGGACCTCCTGTTTGTGAACAGAGAAGGACTGGTGGGTGATGTGATAATTAGAGACCATTTTTGGCACAGTGATTATGAAATGATAAAGTTTTAAATTCTCAGATAAGGAACAGAGTCAGCAGAACTGCCACCTTGGACTTCTGGAGGGCAGACCTTGGCCTCTTTAGGAGGCTGTTTGACACAGTCAGGGCAGTAGTCCTGAAGGGCAAAAGAGTCCAGGAAGGCTGGACTTGAATCTTCAAGAAGGAAATCCTAAAGGTGTAGGAGCAGGTTGTGCCCAAGTGCCAAAAGATGAGCTGGCAGGGAAGAAGACCAGCCTGTCTGGAACTCAGGGTGCTAATAAACCCTTTTACGGCTACTATATTAAACTGCTGAGCAGCTGATGATACTGTGTAGGGTCAGTACTTTGTAAATGAAACTGTGGATTACAAAACTCTACTGGCAGTACAAAGAGATTATGAAAAGATGGAAGATATTCTTAAAACTAGGAGTTGATTGAGTTAGGGAAATAAAATATACAAACTAGGAGTCTTTCTTACATGATATAAAAATGGTTAAACCGAGTATGCGATCAGAAATTTGCTCAAACAAGAGTTGTCAGAGATGTCCAGGTAGTTTAGAATAATAGTTGAAAGTGCATTTCAGTCTGGATGAGGATTTTTCAATGACTGATTTTTTTTTCCTTTTAAACAAAATAACAGCCTTCTATCCATTTTATTTGAGTGTTTAATGCTGTTGAAAAGCAGTTTTTTTACTTGGCATTTAATGTCAGCTATCCTTAAATTATGTTACTGATGTGGCTGAAATTTCAAGCAACTTAAAATTTTGTTAAAAAGTAACCCTGCTGTTCTAAGTAGCTCCTGCTTCCTACTTGCCTTTTTCATGATGTGTAGTGAACACTAAATTAGCCATGAGTATTTTCTACATCATCATCAGATTTTCCAAGTAGTTTGTGAGGTAAACTCATCTTTTCTTCATCTGTTTGACCTTTATTTATTGAAAAGATGGGAGACTCCGTGGTTCTCTCTGCTGGAGAACCTGCCAATTTTTCCAGAGATTCCTCCAGCTCATGTCTGAGTTCATCTTCAGAATCTTCAAAATTTCTGCAAAGTAAAACAAAATAATTATATTAAGTAAATATAACTTTGTTACAAAGCTTTCTCCTTTCAAGGTGTTTTAGATTTTTTTAAAACACTTTATAAAGAATATACATGCAACACACATATTATAGGAACTGTTTCTTCTCTCCTTGTGAGATTATTTACCTGTACTTAGAAAGCAAGAGAAAGGAGCTGCAAAGCCATTAATAATTAATATTTTTGCATAATGTAATTTTTAATGACAGCATTGGCTCTGGCATATTAAATTACAGAATTAAAAGTTAAATTAGCAGACTGTGTAAGTAAACTTTTTCATTTATTAATTTTAAATAACACCCAAAAAAGGTTTAGGCAATGCAAGCTGCCATTTCATGAAAACTGTTCAGTTGTGTGGATTTTTCTTCTGATGTGCTTGACTTACGTGTCTTCATCATCTGATCTTGGTTCAAGTCTGCCTTCATCAACAGGAACAGCAGGGCACGTTTCTGAATCATCTTTCTTGTTTTCTTTTGGAGGCAACAGAGTTAACTTCCCTTCTGGAAAGGAAAAGTAACTTTCCTTCAGTTGTGTAATAGAAAACTGTAAAAGTGTGTAAAGTAATAGCAAATAAGTAAATGGTTGAATTGTTTTGTTGTTGTTCAAATCGCAACAATGTAAATACCATGCTTCTGTTGATCACAAGTTTTAGTCAGTGGTTTGTAACTTCTGATTCATGGAACCTAGTGGGTTTGTAGACCATAAGCAAGGGACTTAAGAAAGGCAATCTGGTGTTATTACGTTTAAGTTCACAATATAGGGATCTTTCTTTTCAGTGGAAAACTTAGGGGACTAGTGTTTGGGAAAATCTGAAAATTACTACTTGGATGTAACTAGGGTTACCTAAAAATGCTTCCTTCCACAAAGACTTGAAGGGCAAACCTGACCTGAAGGTGTGAGAACAATGCTAAGAGTTGTTACTTTAGCATAAAGACTAAAAGGTGATGCAACAGAAATCTGTCTGTTTGGGTAACACTGTGCTCCACAATGTCAGCGTGAGTGAAAGGGCAGAACTGGGTATTGAGTGCCATTTTTGAATAAATGTAATGGATAAAAACAACAGCAATTAGAATACCCATGTGACTTACTCTTCTTTAACCCTGTGAACTGCTAACAGTGAGAAGTGGTTTGCATTTTATCTTGGCGTGGTTTTTTTTTTAATGTGTAAGCAATAAAGCTAGTCTTAAGAGAGGGATATAGCTAGCACAATTAGCTGTTTTTTCCCCCAAGATGGGGCAGTTTTAAAAGAGCTTGTTGTGCTATGAGATAAAATGTTTGTGAGCTATAATTAGCAGGAAAGGGCTGACTGCACAGTTGCAAATGAAAGATATTTCTGACAATACATTAAAATTGTTGAAACTTGGCATGCACAATTTACTTGCTCAGAAGTCCGGTCATCCAATTATACATTCAGTAGATTGGCAACTGTGCATAAACCCACAATCTCCAGTTACATATACATCTTCTTTCTGTGGAAAATACTCTGGCCTTATAGCCAAGAATTTGGATGACAAGTAAATGTAATTTTTAAAACAGTCTCTTACTTTAGAAAAGTGCTCTGCAGTATAAGTGAGTCTGAATCCATTTCAGTGTCAGCATGGACCATGTTGTAAAGTAAGTCACCTCTACAATTTACAGAAACAACATTTGTATAAATGTTTTTTACGGGGTTCTTCAGCCTCAACAGCTGCAGGGGCTAGATCCAGGTTTATGGCACCTGCCAACTTACCTCTGACTACCTAAGCAAACAAACACGTGAAAGTAACAGACAGTAAGTAGGGCTTGCCCTTTTCCCTGCTATTGAAAAACAGCAACATCCTGAAAGAGGTCCTTCAATGCTTCAGGACAGGGCACAGGCTCTGCCCAGGTTTTTCTAGTTTGCCAACTGCTTGAAGATGTTAGTTTTCATCATAGACCCCCTTGCCAATCGTAGAAGAAATAATACACTAAAGAAGGACATGCAGAATTTACAGTAAAAAACATCCTACCTATTTCTTCTTCAAGACAGGTAAAGGAATCATTAGACAGCTCTGCTTCTGCTAAGATGTTCAGGAGAGTCTCTGGTGGTGTTTGTTTCCACTGCTTCCTGCTTTCTGGGATGTCTTCAGGCAGAATAGCATGGTCCGCTGAAGAACAGAAAGGTTCTCGGGTCACTAAAGCATGACTGTAGCTTGGCATTGTCTTTTGTCAGTCAGACTTCCTAGTCTTAACACAGATTTCTTCCCTTTTTTTAATTCTGGAACCTATATATATATTTTTCCTTTATGGAAAAAAAAAAATTCCTGAATTTTTTATAAGTACTTGATCTGATTGATATTGCAGAGAAAAAAATAGTCTGGACAATGTCTAACACCATTTTTAATGCTTTTAATGGAGTGTCACTGCAGCCACCCCTGGGTGAGCCTGCACTTGTGCCTGGGTAGCACCACCGCTGTGTGCAGGGGGAAAACAGAACTCCACCACACTCACTGCCCTCGTTCTTGTGTGTCATCAGCTCAAGCCCAAGAAAGTAGTGTTGATTAGTTGCATAGATTGACATTTTTAGCTGTTTTTACCTGGGCTACAGAGTAATTCATAAAATGCACCCTTAATAAGTAAAAGCAGCACAACATGATTACAATGATAGAGGGGAAAGTGATGAATGTATTCTGTGGCTTAACATGTACAATAACCTCTCTTATTATGATGTCCTGCAACTAAAAGCATGCCAGATCATGTGAACATTCAGGTATGGATGAGTTCAATCTGGCTGAATTTTAGGAGCTCACTACTTTCACTGAAACCCAAAACTTTCTTACCAAGTTCGTCTTCAGCCATAGTAGGACACAGAGATGTGACATCAGCATCAGCTAAAAAATTCAGTAGTGTCTGAGGGGCTCCAGCTTGCCAATGTTTTCTGGGGTTTTTTGTATCCTCTGTGTCATTAGGCTCTTAAGGGGTAGAAAAAGAGGATGCAAAGTTATTTAATTTTTTTTTAAAGTAGATTTCAATGTGATTATAATATTATGTGACATAAAGAGAGAGCTCATCAGATAAACTTGCTATAGCCTGGAGTTACTGAATTTACCTAACTCCTATGTAATTTTCATTACATTTGAGTATTAATATTCAGCATTGAATTTCCCCAAGAAATACCTGTTTGGTGTCCAGACAGTTCTTCCAAAGCTCTGTCCATATGATTTTCATGAACTTCCACCAATTTCTCCTTAAGATTCTCACCATCCACAAAACTTAAAGTCTCACTGAGTTTATCTAGTATCTGCAAAAAAACATAGGTTACTCTGGAAACAGAAAACAAATATGGTACAATAACTAATCACTCCTCATTTTACTGTTTGCCAGACAACCTCACGTACACACAGGAAAATTGTGTAACAAAAAGTGAAGCAGCAGAACTCAAGAGTCACATTGTGATTTGGGAATCAGAGGGCTGCATGGGGCTCTGCAGAGATGTGAAAAAACAGAATGACAAAGTAGTGCTTTATAAATTAAAAATACACATACTAAAAATATAATATATTTTCTATGTTACTGTTAGAAATATTTTTTAAATTAATATACTAATACAAAACTTAATAGGTAGCTATTACATGATCAGCCACAAATGTCATTCCAATAAATGAAAT